AGTCTCATGTCATGCTCTGCACTGATCGTGGAGCCTGCCTGATATTTTCTGTCTCTCTCTCTCTCTGCCCCTCCCCCACTCACTCGCGCACGCGTGTGTGTATCTATGTGTGTGTGTGTGTGTGTGTGTGTGTGTGCGTGCATGCACGCGCATGCTCTCTCTCTCTCTGTCTAAATAAATAAAATTTAAAAATATGTTTAAAACTGCCACATTAGTTAATTCTCACAACAATTCTGTAAGGGGGGCATTGCTCCCCCCTTTTACAGGTTAGGAAACTAAGAATGAGGCTTTCATTACTTCCAAAGTCAATGGTTAACCTTTCATAATCTACATCTTCTTTCAAGATGTTATTATATTGTCATTGTCTTGACAACCACCCAAAAATTTGGTGAGAGAGCAGTATTCTGAGGCTACAGATGAAACTGAAAAAACAATGAACAAATTCACCTTGTCTGTATTGTCATTTTTGGTTTCAAATGAGTGCTGATAAAAATGGAATCATAAAACTCTAGTGTGATTTCACGACCCCAACACTTCTGTGTCACTGTTCACCTCTCTGAACCTCTCTTTATTCTATTGAAAAGTAAGAACAGAAGTAAGACAGCAGCTGAATTCTCTTCAGAGCATTGGAATATTAATTTAGAAGTAATATGGCATCAATAGCATCCTTGGGAGCCAATTTCATTGCAAGTTCATTCTTCCTTTGAATGAAATAGGATTCCAAGCATTCTTTTTGTACTAAGATCACACCAAGCCTTATTTATTGGAAGTCTGTGGAAAAAGCACAATTATTATTGTGTCCACCAACATCACTCAAGCCAAAGAAATGGGTCTTGCATGAAAAATCTGAGTTAAAAGCAACAACAACAACAAAAAAAAAAAACAAAACAAAAATCTGGGGCACCTGGCTGGCTCAGTCAGTAGAGCATTCAACTCTTGATCTCAGGGTCATGAGTTCAAGCCCCCACTGGGTGTAGAGATTACTTAAAAATAAAAGCAATTAAAAAACTAAGAATTGAGAAATGTGTACTCTAAGCCTGCCTTTGCCTCATGAGGAGAATTCTGGACAACTGCATTATCTTCTATTTGCCATTATCTGTGAGATGCAAACATAATTCTTGTACTTGTAGGATTGTTGTGGGAAGACAGTATGATAAAATAATTGTTTTAAGAATTAACTAGATAACCTGAATAAACAACATATATAGTAATTGTTTTAGTAATCTTTCTTTTGAGCCCTTACCTTCTCAATACAAACAAAAAGAACTTGAAGAAAAAAAATTCAATCCCCTGCCCTTACCTTCTCAATACAAACAAAAAGAACTTGAAGAAAAAAAATTCAATCCCCTGCTTAAATCCTTCAAAACTCTTCCCACTGCCAAAGAACCGAGTCCAAACTCCAAGCAGACATGATCTGTCCCCACCCCATGGCCTTTTCATCCTTGTGCCCAACAACCCTTCCTCTTCAGTAATAATGCACCACATGCAATGCCCAAAACACATCATACTTTACAGCACATGGGTGATATATCACACACTATTTTTTCTGAGACTCACTATGCTCAACTCAGATTCAAAACTACTTCCTCATTAAAACCTTCCCAGATGGAGGGGCGCCTGAATGGTTCAATCGGTTAAGCATCTGACTTCTGCTCAGGTCATGATCTCACATCTTGTTGGGCTCTGTGCTGACAGCATGGAGCCTGCTTCAGATTCTGTTTCCTTCTCTCTCTGTCCCTCGTGGGCTTGTACTCTGTCTCTCTCTCTCAAAAATAAATAAGAACATGTAAAAAAATTGAAACAAAACAAAACATAACAAAAAACACCTAAATGATTGAGTCTTCTAACCAGGAAGGGTCAAAGTTAGTCTTCTTAAGTGAAGATAAGGGGCGCCTAGATGGCTCAGTCGGTTAAGCATCCAACTTTGGCTCAGGTCATGATCTCACGGTTTGTGGGTTCAAGCCCCTCATCAGGCTCTGTGCTGACAGCTCAGAACCTGGAACCAGCTTCAGATTCTGTGTCTCCCTCTCTCTCTGCTCCTGTCCCCCCCACCCCGACCCACTGCTCATGCTCTGTATCTCTCTATAAAAAATAAACATTAAAAAAATTTTTAAGTGAAGATGCTATTACACTTATATTCACATAATCAATGTCCCCACTAAACTATGAGGTCCTTGGGAGTAAAGAGTATTTCCTTTCACTATATCTACACCAGTTCTGAAATATAGTAAGTGTACAAAAACAATTTGTAAGGTGAATAAATCTTAACTACATTTAAATATAAATTACTTATACACACACAAACATCTTCCACATACAAGAAATATGTTTACAAAAGGAGACTGGAAGAGGTTATTAGCAGTGGTAATCTCTGATTAGTGAAACAGTAAATAATATTTGTTTTCTTATTTTCCAAGTCTTTGGTTATAGGTATGTTGTATTTAATTGTAAGTAAGTTTTTTAAACTTACTTACAAAAATGAATGGAAGAGTGAATGAATGAATGAATGCAACATAATGATGGGGAGCCTTACCTTATTCATCTTTCTCCAACCTTCCACCTAGCCCAATGCCCTGCACTAAGAAAGTGCTCAATGTATTTGTTTGAATTGAATGTATTCTGTTGAACTGAATAATTGAAATGTCAAATCCACATCTGTCAAAAAAAATTACTCAATGAACAACACTAAGTGTTGCCTGACCAAAAAACAAATGTCAAAAATATCCTAAATTCAAATATTTTCTTCTGGATCTTCTTAGAATAGCCTTCTGGGAATATTGCTCTTACAGAACACAAAACAAGAATAGCCACCATCTTGAATTACTCAGGGAGTGTGGACAAGCTACTTGATCTTGATCTTTCAGGGAGGAAATGTGCCATCATTCTATAGCTAAGACACACAATGATGAGTTAAAATAGAGATAAATTATAAGACTTTCAGCCCTTCAAGTATGACATTTTAGATTGAGGTCTAATTTCACAGGAGCCCTTACCTATTGTAAGAATGAGGCAGTTCACCATTTGCCAAGCTACCCTGATCCCACCTGATGTCCATTTGGAGTATTTTAATGTTGTTGCTAAGCCTAAAGACCGAGAGCTTGGGTTGGTTTACTTGCTCAGGTAGAGACTGTAAAACAAATGGAGGCCAGTCCCCTGTAAACTAGGGAGCATGTAAACTGATATCTGCAGGGCAATTTGGCAAAAGCTATTAAGAACCTGATGAAAAGTGTATTCTCAGGGTGCTTGGGTGACTCAGTTGGTTGAGCATCAGACCCTTGATTTCACTCAGGTCATGATCTCATGGTTCCTGGGATGGAGCCCTGTGTGGGGCTCTGCACTAACAGCACAGAACCTGCTTAGGATTCTCTCTCTCATTCTCTCTGTCCCTCCCCAGCTTGTGCATACATGCACACCTGCACGCACACAAACATACACACATACATACACACACACACACACACACACTCTCTCTCTCTCTCTCTCAAAGTAAATAAACTTAAAAAAATAAATAAATAGGGGGGCCTATGTGGCTCCGCTGATTAAGGATCCAACTCTTGATTTCAGCTCAGGTCATGATTTTACAATTTGTGGGTTCAAGCCGCACGCTGGGCTCTGCGCTGGTAGCATGGAGACTGCCTGGAATTCTCTCTCTCCCCCTCTCTCTGCCCACACACACCCTCTCTTTCAAAGATAAATAAATAAGGGCACCTGGGTGGCTCAGTCGGTTGAACAACTGACTTCGGCTCAGGTCATGATCTCACAGTCTGTGAGTTCAAGCCCTGTGTTAGGCTCTGTGTTGACAGCTCAGAGCCTGGAGCCTGCTTCAGATTCTGTACCTCCCTCTCTATCTCTCTGCCCCTCCCCTGCTCTCACTCTCACTCTCTCAAAAATAAACATTTTAATGGGGCGCCTGTGTGGCTTAGTCGGTTAAGCGTCCGACTTTCGCTTAGGTCATGATCTCGCAGTTCGTGGGTTCGAGCCCCGCGTCGGGCTCTGTGCTGACTGCCAGCTCAGAGCCTGGACCCTGTTTCAGTCTGTGACTCCCTCTCTCTGTGACCCTCCCCTGCTCACGCTGTCTCTCTCTCTCTCTCCTAGAAATAAATAAAACATTAAAAAAAAATTTTTTTTAAAAATAAACATTTTAAAAAAAGACAAACTTTAAAATAAATAAATAAGTAAATAAAAGAAAAAAGAAAAAGTGTATTCTCTCTCGCCCATCAATTTCACTTCCTAGACTATCCAGTAAGGACACGTTCAAAAGATTTAGCTAAAAAAAAAGTGCTTCACCAAATTATGTATAATGATGAAAAATTGGAAATAACCTTAATGACCACTGAACATGGTCATCAATTCACTGCATAGAGTATTATTCAGATATTATAAATGATGTTGGAGAAATATATTTCGTTACAATGAAATATTTTGACAATATATTATTTAGTGGAAAAAAATAGTCTACAAAGCAGTATGTGCAGTGTGAACCCATTATTGTTAATAGACGGTAACAGATAAATACAGATATTAATAGGGGGGGAAAAAAACCTCCGGAAGATATAAATGAAAATGTTTAACAGTGATTACCTTTGAGTGGTAGGAAAATGAGCAGTTGTTCTTTTTTTAATTGCCTGTATTTGCTGATGTTTTTCCTTCAATGAACATATAATTAGAATTAATTCTTATATACTTAGAGGTGACTCTAAAAATAAACAACCAAACAGTGAACCGCCTTGTGTTCGGAGGGCCTTCCGCGTCCGCACTGGGGCCCTCCTGTCCCTTTGCGAGAATTCTGCAGCCACCTCTCAGATCCTCAGAGGACGCCTTATAAAGAAAACAGGCTTCTTCACTTTCAAGCCACCTCAGCCCAAGTCCCACCCCAAGATATATCAGGTTCAGCATGAGAGGGGACTCCGAGGAAACTCCAAGCCACACCCTGAGTTCCAGCCCGGAGTTCAGACCCATCCCTCCACGGGCCCTGCGGCCCAGCACCCCTGGTCAATTACCTCTTCCGAGGGCGGCGCCCGGCGCGTGGTCTCCTCGTAGGCGCCCACCTGCTTCCAGGTGGCCAAGAAGGCGTGGGTGGGGGTGAAGTGCGCCGCGGTGCGCGGAAAGCCTGAGCGCACGTAGCGCGCAGCCAGATCCAGCACCGCCTGGGACGTGTCCTCACGGTACAGGATCTGGCCCCTGCCCTTGCTCGTGTCGATGTCTGCCAGGAAGGGAGCAATGGCCGGAAAGTCTGTGGGGAAATCATCGTCCACGTACTGGGTTTCCCTAGGGAAGTCCTGAGTGGAGATGATACCGTTGGTGCCCACCTGTGAGAGGAGGGGGACAAAGGGTGACGGTCGCGTACGCGGCAGGAGGCCCACGGGCGGCCACCAAAGGTCCAAATGTGCGCGCCCACCCTGCTCCACATGGAGGAGGGAAGAGAACCGGCAAGGGCTTGGAGCTCCCCTTCCGCACGGGCTGGGAGCCCGACTCCTGACTCAGAGCAACTTTAGCCGCTGTCCCACCCGCCACTGCTACCCCACAGCGCGGTGCGATAGGTCCAGAAGTCCTGAAACTCCTGGTTCCCACATCTCCCTTCCCGCACCCCGCTGGAGTCAGCCTCTGGGTCCGAGGAGGGAATACACCAGCCCTGCAGACGCGCACAGCCCTCTCGAGGTCCTTCCTGGAAAGACCCCTGGCCGCCCCAGCATCCCCACCTCCTTTGCTGCCTGGGACGCTTATGTGGCTGCGAATTTGTGGGGCTGAATTCTTGCGCTTCGCCTCGAGATGGAGAAAAGAAAGTCAGACAGCAGCATCGCTGCAAAGCCAGGTCCCACCCCAGGGGCGCTCGGGGACAGCCGGGCGTGCGGACTGTTTCCTCCCCTCGGAAGGCACGGCTTCGGTGAGAGCCACACTGCACGGACCCCTGGGAAGAAGCTGCGAGAAAGGTGCGGGTTCCCACACCAAGCGTGGGCTGAACTTACGTAGAGGTAGCTGAACTGAGCTTCGTAGAAGCGCAGGGGACTGGCCAGCTTCACCGCGGCTGAGCTCTCGTCGTCGCCCTCCTGCAGAAGCTGGTCCCCCCACGACTGCCCGTAGGGGAAGAGCTCGTCTGGGTGCAGCGCCGCGGCGCGGGACAGCAGCAGCAACAGCAGCAGCAGCGGCGGCGGCGGCGGCGGCAGCAGCGCCCGCAGCGCCCGCCGCCGGGCCGCCCGGTCCCCCCGCATGCTGGCTCGGCTCCTGGGCTGCCCCGCGGCCGAGCGCGTCCCGACCCTGCCCGCCAGCCCGCGAGCGGCGCGGCGCCAGCCTCCGACCTGGGTCCCCGCGGGCGCCGGGGCGGGCGGGGACTCCGGGCCCTCGCGGCGCGCCGACTGGCCGCGGCCCTCGGCCGGGGACCAATCGCCGGCTCGGGGAAAGTTCGACAGCGGCTGCCACATCTGGTTCTCGTTAAAAGTTTTCTAAGGCAGCGGTCGCGGGAGCGGCGGGGCTGGCGAGGTGGAAGCCTCGGGCCAGGGCTGCCGGGAGTGCTGCTCCGCTCCGCCTCCGCCACCCGAGAGCTGTCGGCCGCGCTCCCGCCCGCCCCCCCGCAGGGGCTGCTCCGCGGGGCGGGCGAGCCCCTCCCCCGAGGCCAAATGGCCCTCGAAGTCCGACCACGGCGGCGCTGCGGGAGAGGACTTCAGCGCCAAGGGGGAACCCCGCGGCGGCGTGTGCAGCTGCAGGCAGGCGGCGGGGGGGGGGGGTACCCGGCGCCCCTCGCTCCGGGCAATGTCGCAGCCGCAGCTCCTGGGCTCCACCCGGAGACGCCCTGCGGAGAAGCGTGCCTTTGTATGGAAAAGGAACGGGGGTGGGCGAGGCGGGGAGAGGGTTAATTCCTAAATTCCGACCCCGGTCCAAAGGCCACAGACCGGGAAAACCGGGCTGCGCAGCCGACACACCCCCCCGTCTAGGTCTAGAGGGGCTGTTTAAAAAGAGAGAGGGAGAGAGGGAGCTGTTTACCTTTCCCGGGGAAAACTGCACCTGGGAAGACCACGAAACACTACTGTGTGTGTGATCGGCTCCATTTAGGGCATGGACCGAAGCATCCTATTTGAGCACCAAGCGGAAATGGGCGAGGCGCCAGGGTGGGGGTACCCTGGGTCTCTCACCCGGTGGGCGAGGAGGCGGTAACCTGAGCCGCTCCCTGGGGCTGGAAACCGCACAGCCTTGAAACCAGCAGCTAGGTGTGGGGGAACCCCATCCACCACCAATTGCCCCTCTGTGATGCATCGGGAGCCAGCGAGATTTTATTACCACTTTTATTATCAAGAGCTTGAAATTTCCCAGATAGTCTGTTTTCTCTTTGCCCCCCCCCACACACACACACCATGGGGTCCTTGGAACAAAGGTATTTAAAAAGAAGGAAAAAAGTTAACCCTTGGAAACGCCTTAAGGGATGTTCAAAGGACAAATTTCTTTTTGTGGGTGTTTATTCCAGTTATACAAATCCTTCTGGGCTGAAGGGGCCAAGCCCTGAAAACCCTGAAGACACCAGACTGTGAGACTCACAGAACCAACACAAAATGGAAATCTGGCCCAAAGCAGTAGGCTTCCTCCGACTGTGAAGAGTTGTAGATTTGTTGTTACAAAGATGTATTTGTGCTTGCGCATATACATTCTCATTCCTTTAGGAGATCGGTATTTTCACTGGACTGAGGAGGAACAAAGACATGAGGTGATTGGATTTAGCCAAAGTCACCAAAAGTTACTCTTTGATAGAAAATCCTTCATGGGCTTTCTCTAGGTTTTCCAAATCTCTCAATTCAGCATAATAAAAATAACTAACATTTATTCAGTGTAATATAAGCTATAGGCTAATAGGTAATGAGCTATAAGCTACTAGCTATAGGCCCCCCAAAATTTCCAAAATGGTCCCCAAAGATCCCCATTTCATGGTGTGTATTCTCTTGTATAATCCCATCTCTCTTCACATGAACCCCCCAGAGTATGGGCTGGCCTAGTGACTTCTCACCTACAGAATGTGGTAACAGTGACAAGAAGTCACTCTGTCTCACTGACTGATGAAGCAAGCTATTAAGGCTGGGAAGGCCCACATGGCAAGGAACTGAGGGCAGCCTCTGGCCAACAGCCAGCCAGGCACTGAATTCTGCCAACAACCACCATGTATGGGGAGCTTGGAAATGGATCCTTCTCTGGTCATGTCTGAGATGACACCTCATCTCCGGCTGACACTTTGACTGCAGCCTTGTGGAAGGAGACCTTGACGCAGAGGACCCTACTCAGCAGGGCCCAGGTTCTGGACCCCTAGAAACTGTGAGAACATAATAAACAAGTGTTGTTTTACACTGTTACGGTTTGGGATAATGGCTTATTCTGCGCTAGAGAAGAGATACGGTAGATACTGTGTAAAGGAAACTGAGGAGTTTAAAAAGAAAATCAGTTAGTTACCGAGCTGGTAAGTACCAGAGCTGGGATTTGAACTCAGTTCTGCCTGATTTCTAAACCTCTGCCGAGGCACTAAATCATATTGCCACAAGGTCCTTTCTTTGCCAGGTAGTTGCAGCCTATCTCTCTAACTTCGGCTCTGGCCACACAGCTGCCATTTCAGCTGAGACTTTAATCCACAAATGCAACCTCCTATGTTATGGTTTGGAACATCTTCACATGCTTGTCCCACTACCTATAATGCTTTTCCCAATTAGTCTCTTCTAGCCATCACTCACTCATCCTTCACTTGAACAAAAAATCCTTCTCTTTTAGGAAGCTTTCCTGGAAAGCGCAGTCTGATTAGAATCTCCATGTGCCCTGTGCCTTTCATTATCATGCTGCCAATTATACCATATTTCCTACAGTCCCTGATTGCCTCATGTCCCCCTCACCGGCCACCACCACACCTTGAGAGCAGGGACTTTGTCTTATCCAGGGCTTGTCGTGATACTCTCCCGGCGGCTCGTTGGCAGAAGCTTCGAAACATGTTTGTTGAATGAGTGAAAGCAAGCTAGCCGACCTGGCGCTGCGGTCCCTGTGGGCTGACTCAAATGAAACATTCTTTCCCCCACACCACGTCTCCTGCTCATCTAACCTGTGTTTCAGGATCGCTTTACCAGACAGCAGCACAGCCCACCTTTCACTGTTTTCCAGTTTGGGTCATTCTTTTATTCATCCATCCTACAACTTCCTGTAAGTTGACCGTGACCAAACACAACTCTGCAAGACGTAATGGAGTATAAGGTGTGACCGCTGACCTTGGGGCGCCCTTGATCTGGTCTGGAAAACAAAGTAGAAATATGAAAAAGCAGCAACACCGCGACGTAGCGTGGATTTAGCCGCAAAGCAGACAAAAGGGCCGTTGCACCAGGAGGGTGTCACTGGTTTCGAATCAGATGCTGCGTACAACCGAGTTCGACCCAATAGGGAAGAGGCTGACCTGGGCAGTCCCGGCTTCCTGTCTGCTTAAAGTGGCCACATTCTTCTTGAAATATGAGGCTATAGACAGATGTGCTGGAGCAGACATTCCGTTGAGCTCTTATTCTGATATTATTTTTTAGAAGACTATGGCACCCAAAGAGTGGTTTCTCCCTGAAAATGTCACTCTGTGTCTCGGGGAAAAGAAAAAATCTGTCATAGTGATTTCATTGGTCCAAGTAAATCCTGAAGAAATATTTCTCTTGTATCCAGTACCAGAGTAGAATTTCCATGACCTGCCAGCCCGGCTAAAGAGGCAGAGGCCCCTTCTGGGTTGGTGGTTACAGAGGACTTCTTCTGTAGACGTTTTAGTTCTCTTGGATGACATCTTCATAGTAGCTCTGAGCATGGCTCGAGAGGTGAGATTTTTAAGTGCAGGACTTTTGCAGGAATGGTACCAGATGCCTCGCCGATAGACGGCAGCAAGAGTCTCCACAGTTTTTACGCGTGTGGTTATATGTCTGTTGTAAATACCAAGACTTCAAGAATGATGATGCTTCCTGTTATTTTGATCAAGAGAATGAAAACACATTTGCTCCACAGTGTGGCAAATAGATGTTGGGATTCAAGAGCAAGTTCTATGTATAGCACTGACTGGTATGTGTATGTGTTTGTGTTGGGGGGGGGGGATTGGCAGAAAGTGTTCTGGTGCTTGGTTGCACACACTGATTCTTTGCATAACTTTACTATCCATTAAATTCCAGGGTGGGTATATTAGCATGTGGAAAAAAACAGAGCTGTGCAAATTAGCACATCTCCACGGACTTAGACTTGATTGAAATTGTTAGGCCTAAGAAAAACCATGCACTACTTAGAGATTCTGAGTAGGGCTTGAGATATAGTCGGTGAGATCCCTACACTCTAATGACCTCCAACTTTCACTTGAGGTTTCATTTATACCCCTCCCCAGGTGAGATGGCACATCAAAGCCACTTCTAGAATTAGATCCGCTCCTGTGAATTTCTGAGTTTTCAGTTTTTTGTTAATGGCAGCAATAGCCACTCTTCTTTATTACCATTGCCTATTTCTCATCCTCCTCAGCTCTCACCTGATATCTACCCACCCCTTATTCCCAACCTCCTCCCTTGCATGAATCCCCCCTAGATGGGAGAAGATGAGTGCTCACTCAGCTTCTCTTGCAGTTGAGAGTCACCATCTGGTACAGTCCTGACCGAATCGCTAGCTGTGGGCAGGAAGTCCGGTGATTTCCAGGAGGGTTTTTACTTGGTGATTAAAGGGAACAGTTTCTCCATGTGTGTTGCCTTGAACATGGATGTGTTGGTTTGAGCTTGGGCAACCCTCTTCTAACCACAAAGTGACAACTATGAGGACAAAAACATGGCAAAGCAAAAAGAGAGAGAGAAGAGTGTCTTAGTGAGTAAGTAACTGCTTACCTCCAGACTTTTTGTTATGTAAGAAAACAACCCCCCATTGGCTTAGCCACTGGTACATGCACCTATCCTGATACCTGGCTAACTCCTTTCCCTACAACTATCTAAAACACAAATCTGGGCACCTGGGTGGCTCAGTCGTCAAGCATCTGACTTCAACTCAGGTCATGATCTCAAGGTTCATGAGTTCAAGTTCTGCATCCGGTGAGCACGAGCCCCACTTAGGGTAAAACACATCCCCCACTTCACTTAGGGTGAGCCTACTTCTCTCTCTCTCTTTCTCTGGCCCTCCTGGGATTCTCTCTCTCTCTCTCTCTCTCTGCCCCACACTCACTTGCAACCTCTGTCTCAAAAACATTAAAATAAATAAATAAATAAATAAATAAACCCACAAATTTGGCCATCACATGTTCCTGCCTAGGACCCTTTGGTAGATTCTCTCCCACCTCTACGCTGAATCTTAAGCTGGAAAGGCCCTGTGGCGTGGCCTCTATCTGTCATCTTTTGCCCTTTCCTACCTTTACCTTTAGCAATCCTGAACTATAGTAATTTCCCCTCCGCACAGATAGCTTGATGCCAGTGTGCCTCTGTTTATGCTATTCCTTGCCTGGAACACCCTTCCTACCTCCTGATGATCTCTCATTCCCTCCAGGATTTAATTCAGACACCA